AAAAAAATAAAAAAAAGTTTTTCAAACAATCTGATTTAATGTTCCACAGTAGAAAGTCCTATAGTTTCGTAATTACGTGAGGGTACGTAAATTACAGAAGACAAAATTTTCATTTTTGGGTGAACTATCTCCTTAAGAAACACTTTAGTGTCCCACGATAGAATATCATACTGGTTTTCAAAATCCATGATACTGAGTATATGTTGACAGACTTTTCATTTTTGGGTCCACTGTTTCTATAACTAAACTGCGCCTTCTTTCATTCAGCTCTGTTCCGCAAAGTTTTTTTGTAGACCAAAAAAGACATTTAGACACCACAATAACAGTCTTGCCCACTTTGTCAATATATACATATACGCTCACAAACGCTGATACCAGCAATGTGCAACAGTACAGTTCATGAGGCCTGTGGCACGCCACTTTTTACCCTCTGGGATGGGACAGGAGCGTGGTGAGCGTGCATTTGTGTACGTGCGAGCATGCATGTGCAAGAGTAGAGAGAAGGTGATGAGTGTAAAAATGCGGGGGAGACTGTCATGTAAACATCTTAGGCGATGAAAGCAAGGACAAGAAGAGCCAGCACACAGAGAAGAGGGACATGCAGAGACTCAAAACAATCAACAGACACAGATCTACAGAATTACAGCACCAAGTAGGCCTCATTATAAACCCAACAGACTAAACTTTCCACTGATTAAAGCTGCAGGTCATTAAACAACTCTAATCTAATAAAGTGAAAAGATGGCAACTTTGCAAAATAATCAATCTTAATTATATAAAATTACTCTTCCTGGGCTGCTGATGAGAAAATGTGTTTTGGCCACAGATAATAGACGACATGAGTCTAAATTTATTAAAATTGGACAAATAGAAAGAGACAAATAAGCAAACAGAAGAGCAAGAAAGCAAACAAGACAGCAATAAAAAAGAAGGCAAGAAAGAAAAAGAAAAAGAAGAAAGCGGTGCATAACAGACGCAGACTTGTATGTTGTTATTCAGTTTAAGCTGCTGTGAACTCTTTAATTTATACTGGTTTGGCATTATGTGTCTCCATCCAATCAAGTCTTCGAGGAGGGCATGAAAAGAGTTAAGGAGAGGAAATGAGTGAAAATGGACAAATGAAAAGGTGTTGTTCAGACGAGGGGAGACATAAGAGAGAGTGGAAAAGCAGAGATAACACAACTGTGGCATTACACTGCAGAGGAAGAGAGCTTCACCAGTTATGTAACATGCTTGCCATTGAGGATATTAGGCTTAAAATCAGGCATGATATGGATAATTCCATATGTCTATCTTTCAATCCATGTCTACCTTTCTATCTATCTATCTATCTATCTATCTATCTATCTATCTGTCTGTCTATCATACATTCATTGTATCTATCCCTCTGTCTACTGTCCATTAGTTCATCTATTAATCATCTATCCATATGTCTGTCTATTTATAGTATCTATCTATGCACAAAGGATTTCTATATACATTTCAATGAAACAGAATGCATGTCCTGATAGACTGTTTTAAAAACTGAATCTCTTTTAACTTCACACGCCATCTTAAAATTGCAGCACTCATAGGAGGAGACACTAAAATAAAGACTATGAAATGCATCACAACGGTCAAAAACACACACATAGCGCATGTTTATATATATATATATATATATATATATATATAAACTATTTAAAAACAGTGCAGATGGATGCAAGAACGCATAAACGGCCCCTAACTCAGCGGAGGAATCGATCAGAACATCTCTGTCAGGAAACTTTAAAAGCCAAAAAGGCTGAACAAGAGGAGTCTGGCCACAAGTAAGTGTGTGTGTGAGCGAGGAAGAGAGAGCAATCGAGGGATGACATCATTGTTAGTGATCACTTGCAAGGCTGTATCTGCAGAAAAGAGGAGAAAGAGCTGGACAGAACAGATGACATGGATGGATTATGCAGGTAGAGTGAGCGTAAACAAAACTAGAGAGGCCGCCTTGCAAAATGTGAGGAAATTTCCAATGAGACTGCTGAAATGACCGAAATGAATGGCTGATACAGCTCAAGTCTTCAAGAGTGAACGGTTATGGTTACGCTAAAGATGGATGTGCATGTGATGCATTATATACGGCAAACATACCACATAAAATTAATATGCACAAATGATTGCATCTCTGCAGTCTTTAAAATCGCCCGCATTTACAGACAGGAAAAAACAGCATCATTTGCAATGAAAAACAATTATAACACCACCCGCAGTACAAAGTGTTCCCCGGGGGCACTGAACCGTCTCCCCTCAGAAATCTTTAGGACTTTAGGGCGTGTTAATCAAGACGATCGCTAAAAGACTCCAATAAAACAAAGGGCGTAGAAGAGCTCAAGCGGCAGAAGCCCCTTCTGCCCAAGCTGACTGTAAAACGCTGGACTCTAATAGGTTATTGACTATTGCATATGAGACAGGATGACATCACTGGCAGCCAATGGGAGAGCAGGAAGTGCGGAAGATGAGAAGAGTGTTTTTAATTTGTGTTTTGCTGAGCTCAGCTTCTCTCACACAAGAAAAAAGATGAGAAATGCGTCAATGATGAATGTCGGAATTAATAAACGGAAGGGAAGAGGGGCTGTTGGCATGTTGTCGAGTGGGCACGGGTCAGCCACGCACTCCGTGTGTCTGTCACTCTGTATCCAGGGAGACCGGAGCTGGAATCGCTTTTCTTTTCTTGCCGACCGTGTATGTGTGTGTGTTCATGCTTGTGTGCTTTTGCTGTACACTGAATGCATATTCATGCACACATGCAAATGTTTGTCAATCCTCCTTGACCATTAGTTTGAATTTACTGCGTGTGCACTTGTCTGTCTTCGATACACCTGATCGTGAGTCATTCCTCTCTCCGCTCCTCTCTACCTCCTACATGAAACCTTTCCTCTTTCATTCTCTCGTTTTTCTAAAATATGTAACCCCGTGGCAAAAACGGCTTGCCATCTCCATGACAACACACTGTTGATCCACAAATCACTGGTTGGTTAGCACAGGCTCTAGCTGGGTGACGTAATGTTGTCTCTGGTCTTCTGTGGCCACTGGACTTCACCACTTCTTGGCTGGGCTTTAAAATGGCAACCATGGTGCGTGTCTGGCAAAACACTTATGAGAGTGTATGCAATGGTGTGAGTATTTCCACACTGAGTAACTAACCTGTTATATAACTACAGGAAATGGGTGCTGGATACACTTTGCAACGTTTCACGGTTGGCTTAATGGCATTCATACCACTCAAAGTTTAGACTTATGGGTAGATGTGAATGTAACTATTTAAACAACAAAGGTTATGTAAAAAAAATTATATAATAAAGAGATGTCATAGGCCTCAATTAAATATATATATATATATATATATATACACACACATTTAAGGTCACACTTTATTTTATGGTGTCCTTGTTACACGTTACATGTACTTACTTAAATGAACTTAAATTATAAATAATTACACGCAAGTAACCCTAAACCAAACCCTAATCCTAATCCTAACCATACAGTAAGTACATGTAGTTCATTAATATTATTCAGTACATTGTACACAGTACATTATTCAGTAAATGTATAATTACACTGTAAAAAGGACACCTTAAAATAAAGTGTAACCACATTTAAAAATGAGATCTGTAAATTGCCCATGTAACACAATATTGACCCAAAACACATGCAAAAGAAATTGCTTTAAAAAGGAAATTGAGTTTTGTAATGGCCAAATCCAATCTAAACCTGTATGGCATGATGAGCGACTGGACTTATAAGCCTGAAGAACATTCTCAAACATGCTGAGGGAGTCCTAAAAGGCAAAAACTCAAATCAATGCTGAAGGTTGATATGAAAAAAAAAACCTTTCCTACACACCACTGTAAACTGGCCTTACCACATTGTCAGAGCATATTCATGTCAACCAGTCACAACCTGAAAACATCTACCCTATACATATAGATCCTCAGTTCATAAGAGTGCTCATGTGTCAGAAGACATATTTCAGAATCTGTGCAGCAACTCGTGAAAGACCCTTTGCCCTTTTATGGATTTGTGCATGTGAGCATAAGTGTGCACATGTACTCTAAAGAAAGTGACATGAACATGCCCAGGTCATGTTAGTGCACATGTGACATTGTCAACCTGTAGAATTATTTAAATAGTTGTGATGCTTAAGCTGTGACAACTAAGGCTTTACCTGGGCACATGTGTGCCATACACAGTGTCAAGATGTCAAGGGCTTTGCTGGACTACGTATTCTGCACTTCAGTGGCATAACAGATTACAATCTCTAACACAGTCGCTTTTTTAAACTTAATAAAAGTCTCAGTCTGAAATAACAATTGTATGTGTATTACAGTGATAAAAGGAGTTTTCTCCTATGGGAAATTCAAGCTCTACCTAATCATTTTAGTAGAGAGGAAGAGGGTGAGGTGTGTGTGTGTGTGTGTGTGTGTGTGTGAATATGCGTTTATTTGCTTCATCAATACAACAGTAGTGCTGAGTTTTTTGGAAACAGCATCTCCCAAAAAAAGTACGGAGCCAGAGCACTCCCTTGTGGTGCTAAATAAGAACTTCAGCTAAACTTTGCAAACTTTTTTAACAGCAGTGGCCTGGATGTACACTGTGGAACACTGGAAGTTACTCAACTGCTCAAAAAACATTTTATTGTTGTTTTTTCCCTTTATCTTTTCATGTTTTTGCATATTTTACAATTAGGATTGTCATCCTTAATTTTTTTCTTCTGAACCACTGAACACACGAGAGCAACATTTTGATCTCAGATTTGTCTGAATAAATTATATCCCATTCATGATTACTTTATCATTATACTTTTATCTTTTAATTAAGACTCTCAAGACTCCCATACAATTAACTCAGGTAAACAGAAACTTAATGGTTGTTTAATAACTAGATGCCTATTTTGGCACATGTACATTTTCTGAAATTAGAATGTACAAAATAAACTAATTATGAAAAAAAGCATGTTATGAACTTACCTGTTTCCAAAGCCTGCAATAATTCTGGGGATCCAGTGGAGGTCTGGCCAGACCGGTACAGTGGCTCATTCTCCCAGTCTTGAGCACAGGACAGAGGTCAAATGTCAGGTCTATAATCTGATGTGCTATCATGCTAACCAAAACCGTTTAGTAAATTGAACTGTTGGAGAGATAAGGTACATTTAAACCCCTTACAAAAGGTACTGTGGTAGTACAATGGTAAAGTAATGGTATTAGATGGCAAAACATTGCATTTTGATATATACACTACCTTCCAAAAGTTTGAGGTCAGTTCAATTCAGCTTTATCATTACATGAATAAATTGCATTTTAAAATATCTCAAAATAGAAAATGAAAATGTTTATTTTAAATTGTAATAACGTTTCACAATATAATTATTCTTTCATTTTTTACTGTATTTTTGATCAAATAAATGCAGCCTTGATGAGACCAAACCCAAACTTTTGAATGACATTATCATTATTACCATGCTACAATAGAACCTTTCATATGTAATTAACTGATTGTAGAGATGAGTTTTTTTCTACTTGCAAAAATAAATATATTTATGATGAAGGAAATATACAATTGCGCACTCATAATACAATTAATAGAATTTGTCAATAACATCATAGGTCACCAATGTAAATGCTAGACTGGTGTCTGACTCTCTCTGAATAGTTAAATTAGATAGGTGAGGCAGAAGAGCAAACTCACCCAGCCTCTCTAGAGCCTCCGACAGCCTGAGCACCACGGCTGGGGTCTGGTCAGGCAGAGCGCACTGCTCCACAACATCTCCCTTTCCACAGGGGCCTGTCAGAGAAGGAGGGAGAGAGAGAGAGAGAGAGAGAGAGATGATGATGAGAAATCCCACTGGTGAGACCAAATTCCCTGATTAGGTGGCTGCCTGTAAACCCACATCTCATCTCTCCCTAGGGAACAGTCAGGTTGTCATATTCACACAAGCATGGTAGATATGCAACATAATACTCAAGTCTCAACTCACACACATTTAGGTTAATGCAATAGTTCACATAACCTCTAAAAGCCAGAATTAATCTAGTTTATTTTAATTTTTACAAATACTAACACATTTTGCCATTTAAAGTTACATTTAAGCATGCATTTAGTACAACATTATTTATTATGAGCTAATGTAAACTAAAAATTACCAGTAATATATATATATAAAAATGAACATTAAAGGGACAGTCCACACAAAAATTTTAATTCCGTCATCATTTACTCACCCTCATGTCATTCCAAACCCGTATGACTTTCTTTCTTCTGTGGGATGCAATGAAGATATTTTGAAGAATGTTGGTAACTAAACAGTTTAGATTCCCATTGACTGCCATTGTATTTTTTGTCCATACAATGGAAGTCAATGGGAATCTAAACTGTTTAGTTACCAGCATTCTTCAAAATATCCTCTTTGTGGCCCACAGGAGAAAGAAAGTCATACAGGTTTGGAAATACATAAATAAATGATGACAGAATTTTCATTATTGGGTGGACTATCCCTTTAAATGCCACAAATTATAAACATTTCGTCCAAATGGGTTTTTAAAATTCAGTATATGATATGTCCTCCAGGTATGTCCTCCAGCAGAATGAAATACAGTGCATAATGTTTCATAAGCATTATTGTCTCTACCCATCTCCACTGTCCTTCCACTGAACACTGACCTTCTGCTGAGGTTCCAGTTGGGGAGTGTGTCCATATATCTCTACATGTGGGCACTTATATGCATTCAGACTACCATGGATAAAATCCTTGAGGGGGTCTGATTTTTAGTATTGACATTTAGTAATGTCAATGACACAATGTCCATTTGTGTGAAAGAGAAACACGGCAGCATCCTTCACAAGACACCCTGTCTATGTTGTCCTGGGACACTGAGCATGTCACACATGACCAGAGAGCATGGTGAAGAGTGGAAACATAGCAGACTGTGCATTAAAAGACTATTAGCCCTTAGAACAAAATAAATATGGAATTTGTAAAACATTATTGAAAAACTGATATTTAAAGGTTTCACTTTACAATAAGGTACAGCTGTAAACGCATTAGGTACCATGAACTAACCATAAAAGCATTTATTAATCTAGGTTAAAGTTTATTCATAAATATACTGTTGTTCATGCTGGTTACTCATGTTTGTTCATAATACATTAATGTTAATTTATACTACTTATTATATAAAAAATGTGTTAGTATATGCAGAATTAATAAATGTTGTAACTGAAACTTACTGTAAAGTCTAACCTCTTAAAAATTTTAAGGTGAGGGTGACAAACAAATGTTGTGAAATTTAAAAGTTTGCTAACTAAGAAAACATGATGAAGTGTTCCTTTCACACATGCAAATAAAGTCTAAAGGTCTTATCACAGCAATGCATCACCCGCGTAACTACATGGAATAAACATGATTTCATCTTGTGCCCAGATATGAATATTACTAACAAAAAAATAAAAATAAACATTAACTTTTCATTTAAGTTACTACATTGCAAACTCAGAGCGGGATTTTCTTTTCTCTCTAAACAGGAAACTTTACTGACATTTACAAACATTGTTAAACTCATTTATATCAGTATGTGGTTCCATTTACATCAAATTTGTGTTATAGCGAGAAATTCTAATTTTCTGCACCATTATGTGAAGCATGAGGTTTAGTGTTGTATACAGGCTCTTGTGAGTTATCTTCAGTGACAACACTAATTAGCACTGATGTGCACCACCCGCTAATGTCTACACAGATACCAATGCTATCTCTCGTTTTCTCTTTCTGTAATTAGGAAATGGCTGTTTATTTAACAGAATCTCACACACAAGCATCTGTTGACAGCAGGAAAAGTTTGCGTTCCCATGCACGGGTGCAATTGGTGCGCTAATCTGCACAGCAGTGGCCCTTGTTGCACCCCGCTGTAATTTTCACACGGGAGAATCACGCTACAAGGTGGCAATACTTTCTGGACTGGGCTGATTTAGGTTTTGTTTGTCAAAGAACCATGATAAATGTTTAGTTGAAGTGTCAACTAGATCTGACAGTTTCAATCTAACCGGAAGCATCAGCATCTGCAGTACAGGAACTGATTAGACCCATCATTACTTTTGACTTACCATATGCAAATGTATAAGTTGCTGTGATCCTTTAGAAGTAATATAGATGAAGCTACAGGAAACAGGAAATGGGGAGATGACAGTGATTAAAAAAAAACAAAAAACAGAAAGATTAATGAAAAGTTCCTCTGAGGCTTTGATGCAGGTGGCACAAAGACGGTGGAGGTTTGAGATTACACACGTTAACCGCGGAGCGCATTGGTATTCCAACAACACGCGGTGCATTTAATTGCTCCACATCCTGCTGGTTTCTCTATGGACCTCGACAAGCGACGCCTTATGAATGAGCAAACAGGTCAGAGCACGATAGGAGGAATCATAATTCTCTCTCTCTCACACACACACACACACTTTCTCTTTCTCTCCCTTGTTCCTTTTGTTTTGGAAGCCTCACATTTCTTAATTGTTGGCCAGCCAAGATTTATAAGACAGGAGATTAATGTGGAGCTCTGTGCAAACTATATCTTTCATTATAGAGAAACTAAAGATGTAGGAGTGGCATTTTAACTTAGATGGTTAGTTGATGAATTATATGCAGGAAGTATGTGAACCCTTTATCATGGATTTCTATAGAAATTAGCCATAAAATCTGATCTGATCTTTATGAATAAGAGACAAACAATAATACATTTTGTCTTAATTGATCACAACAGTGGAGGGTGGAAAAAGCATGTGAATAAATGAGATTTGTTTAAGCAGATCATGTTTGTCTATTGATGTAAGCAAGATCAAATTTTGTGACCAATTCATGCATGTTAAATCCATTTTTTTCCTGTCACTGTATTATATAAACGATTGCCACAACACGCTCAATGCATGAGGCATCGGGAAATAATTTCAGACATCTGACTTGGTATTTTTCGATTGTTTTTCTTTTATTTTCATGTGCTTCAAATGTCAAAACTCTGCCCTTCGATTTGCACCAGCGTGAACTTGTGTTTACATTTCTGGCACCACACATGTGCGCGAGGACTTTCACGTTTATATGTGTGCGTGAAAGCGGTCACAGTTTGTTTGGCTTTGTGTAGAAGGCAGTGGGCAAATTTCCTTTCAATTGGAGTGCTACTATGCGTTTGGTGCTTCGATTAACGTCACTGTCAGAAAACATCACTGAGGCAATTTCTCAAAACGTGAGGCACAAGCTGATGGGTGAGGGACAGCAAAGAACAGAGGAACAAGAGGGAAAGGACAGGGCATGGGAAAAGCAATACTGAGAACAACACCGCGGCAACTAATACAACGATGCTGTTGTTTCAATTTACATGCTACTTTCGAGAAATTGTTATTCTGTATGTACGATCCAAGTACTGCTGCATTTCTTCAGAGTCATGTTCAGTAGTCCCTCCTACTGTGAAATCTCATTGGCTCACATATAGGATGCACAATATCACATTGTTTTCTGGCCACTGTCTGAGATTTACAAATTCATTGTTATCATTGATATTATATGATATATGACAACTAATAATATTCAATAAAAACTAAATATTATTTAGCAAATTGTTTACACTTATTTTAAATTACACTACTGTTTAAAAGTTTGGGGTTGAAAGAAATTAATACTTTTATTTATCAAGGACACATTCAATTTGTCAAAAGCAAGAGGAAAGCATTGATAATAATTTTTTTTTTTTTTTCGCAAGCACCAAATCAGCATATTACAATGATTTCTGAAGGATCATGTGACACTGAAGACTGGAGTAATGGTTGCTAAAAAAAAAAAAAAGTCAGTGTTGTCATCACAGAAATAAATTACATTATAAATATATTAAAATAAAAAAATTTTTATTTTAAATTGTAATAATATTTCACAATATTATTTTATTTATCAAAGTATTTTTTATCAAATAGATACAGCTTTAATGAGCATAAGAAACTTCTTTAAAAAAAACTTTACTTTTTTTTTATAAAACAAAAAATTATTCACAAAATTCACAAACTTTTTATAGAATTTCGATTATTGGCATTTATAAGTTATTGGCCATTATGTGAAAATAATTATCGTATTTATTGTAATTAATAATAATTATCAGCTTATTGTATCAGACAGAATTCCTACGCATGGATGCACCGATATACACACAGTAAATTAAACCTCAATCACCTTTGATTGGCTGTTTGTGTCATGTCATGCAGCAGATTCACACTCAGAGCAAACAAACGAACTGCTTGTCGCTGGAGGCTTGTCACATTGTGCCCGCTGTTACATATTTGCAAGCACTTTTCCAGGTGCTTTGCAGTTCAAACACATGCTAATTAGCTTGCAGGTAACTTAAGACAATCAAAAGATCTGCAAAAAAGAAAGGACAAAGCAAACAAAACATGGCACTGTTGGTAAAGGACCTCTAGGTGAATTACATCTCCACTTAATATCTATTGTTGATCCCATTACTGGCATTTATGAGTGTAAAGCACGAGACTATGTTAAACAGTGAGGGTGTCGCTGTCACTGTACAAAGCTTGTGTGTGCCCGTCCTAGCTGCTCTGTGAGAACACACGAGCCTATCAGATCTTATCCGTTTTCTATTAGGAGGACAGAAAGCAATTTCTAGGGTTTTCATTGCCCTGTGTGTGTGTGTGTGTGTGTGTTTAACGAGCTCTGGTCACAATGACAGGGAATTACTGAACGGATCAGCACTTCTGCACAAAGCCATTAAGTGTCCAAAGTCGGGGGTCAGCCAGCTGAA